GAAGTGCGCGATAGCTTTTTGAATGATGACTACATAAACAATTCAAAGAGAAATAAAGTACAGTTTCCTTTAATAGATTCCAGGAAACGAGATTCTACGAAAGTGGTTGCCTCATAATAAATCAAGGAGGAATTTTCGTTTAAAAAAGGGTCATAGCGTGTGTAGTGCTTTCTTCGAAAGGGGCACTAAATTCTATCACATAAACAAGATAACTGCTGCTTCTCTCCAAAAATTTTAGCCTTAAGTGACATTAACACAAAGAAGATCCATTTTTTCCCCCTGAACAAGAGGGTTAAATTCAACTGTCACGAGCTTGCATGACAGTTGAATTTGTTCATTGGGTTAGGGGAAAGGAAGTATGCAGTCTCTCTCTATAATTCGATATTTTGAGGTAGCAGATTTCTCTTTAGATCGCTAATAAACTATTTTACCAAGAATTTATCTTTCTCGCTACTTACTTTTGATTTGATGTAATATATGTAATTAGATTAACCTCAGTGATACATGTTTATTTCCCACATTGAGAGTACGAATGTGAAAGGTGAGCTACGAAGAAATTGCTGAAAACTAAGCCGGTTTTGATCGTGGCTACAGCGGCAGGCTTCTCTGTTGATGATAAACCTCACGAGTGAAATTAAACAAACGGTAAAATGAAGCACTTTGAAAATTTGAGAATATCATTTCCAAGTTGAGGTCAGTGTATTTGCATTGTTCTTTACGCTTTTTGAGTTGCCAGGATTTCTAAAACAAAAACGATTTTGTTTTTGTTACATGGTCACACATACACGAGATGGCGTGATTGTATGTATTCGTTGACGATTTTTAACAAATTTTTAAAAATCCCACATTCCTTTCTCCAAAGTAAACTTTACATATTTTGAAAGATCGTTAACTCGGGTGTTGTCATTCTTAATCTTGCGAAATTCTAAACAAAGGAACACGCTCAAATTATAGTTAAGTTTCGCCCACCGTTTTACAAAGTACTGTAAAGCCATAACTTCTTTACTTCTTTTGAAAACTCAGATAAATCTAATGTTTATGAAATCATGGTGTTTAGACCATGGAAAGTTATACAACAAATTGGAACGATGACAATTTTTTTTAGAGCAGCAGTTTTGACAAGCAAGTCAAGTGAATCATGACTAATTTCAACCCTATTTGCACGTGTTTGGGGTCGCCAAATTGTCACTGAGCCTAATTTGAAAACGGCTTCCATCGTTTTTCTCAGGAATTAAAAGATATTTCAAGGAATAAACTACACATGGCATTCATATACTTACTAAAGGCTATCTACATTCAAAAGACGGGTAAATTTGATTCTTTTCAGCTTTGCCGAAAATTTGCGATTCTGTTTGATTCTTGCACGGATCTGCTTTTGAAGTTCGTAATTTCGAACTCCAGCAGTTCAGCGACAAACAAACGCTCTCGCTCCTATCAAAAGAGCTTGAACTCTGCATAATGTTCTGTCCAAGTATAACACTGAATATCGTCATCTGAAGGCTTAAATTTGTCAAATCCAATCTTAATCTTCATTAAACATTAGCTCACGCAATGCAAGTGCCGCAATTTGTCTTCTGAGTGTGACAGAGTTCATTGAAAATACTATCTCGATTTCCCTCCTCTCAGAATGGCTCGTTTTTCTCGATCTCCCTTTCTCGATCTTCCCTCTTCAGAGGGAAAAATGGATCTTCTTTGCGTTAATGTCACTTAAGGGTAAAATTTTTGCTGATAAGCGACAGTTATCTAGTTGATCTAATAGAATTTAGTGCCCCTTTCGAAGAAAGCACTGCAAACGCTATGACCCTTTGTTAGACGAAAATTCCTCCTTGAAATATTATGAGGCAACTACTTTCGTAGAATCTCGTTTCCTGGGAATCTATTAAAGGAAACTGTGCTTTATAGTTCTTCGAATTGTTCATGCAGTCATCATTCAAAAAGCTATCGCGCACTTCGCGGAAAGAGATGATGCATTGGGATTCTTGGAAAAAATAATTATTCTATGCTTTTCAAAAGGAACATTTCCTTCAGTTAATGTCACCTACAATTTATAAATACAAGACAGCAGTCATTAAAACATTCTTATTGTAGATATTAAATTCTACACTGGAATTAAACAAACGCGATCCCGGAGTGAAGTACGAACGTGCGGAACGATTGTCCACAAATGTAATTTTAAGGTTGGTTTCCCAGAAATCTCCGATCGAAAAGAAGGGGAGATATATTACTCCAATATGCACTCTCTTGACCGCTTAAGGAAAGGTCTGAAAAAATATGATAACAATAA